AAGCCATACAATTCTTCTATAAACAGGGATCAAGATAATATGTTATATTTTGAGGGAAGATTATTGTCCAGGGCCTCTAAGTTCTAAATTAAAGTATGCTAATATTAGAAGGATAAAATACTGCTAAGTAAACACTCTGCTTCCATGAATCAAGGCACCCACCTGGATGGCATTTTCTAACCATTTAGACTGCTAAAAGCAAAGTTATGAAAAATAATAACAACTTCAAGGAGCTAAAACACAAATGTCATAGAACCTTCATCACCGGACTACTCCGGCTTTAAGTATTAATGTAAACAGTTGAGATACTATTTACAAGGGATAATAATTTAGTATTGCTAGAAATGCATTATTTAGGCAGAGGGCTTCCTAAAGACTTAGGTATTCTTTGGAAAAATCTTTGGATGTACCTTTGTTGTCTTACTGAATGTTTAGGCTGAAGTGCAAGACAACAGAAAAGATCTTTATTGTATTCTAGATAGAACTGGTATCTGCATGTAACCACCAAACTCACCAGAATGTATCTGTCAAATACCTCACTAAATTTTTAGATACTAGAAGCAGGTAAGGGCTATCACACAGCAATAGAACTAAACATGAAGTAGTCCCCTAAAGTACACACCTGAAATCTGTCAATTAATTTTGTTTTCTATATAGTGTAATATCTATGGTTCAATGATGAACAAAGCAAAAATAAATTCAATAATGTATGGTTTTCAGTGATGAGATGAAAGATGATGCTATATCTCTTAAACTTTGGAAACTTACTCCAGCACAAAATGCATACGTATAATATATAATGTATGTAATATATTTTATGTCTTTAAAAAACCAAATAAATGGCTTTTTAAAATCTGCAATGTGGCAGATTTTCAATCAAATGTGAAGGTCCATATAGATCTGTAGTTCTGGTCAATCTTTTTTTTTTTTTTTTTTTGAGACAGGGTCTTGCACTGTCACCCAGGCTGGAGTACAGTCACACAATCACAGCTCACTGCAGCCTCAAACTCCTGGGCTCAAGTGATCCTTCCACCTTAGTCTCCCGAGTAGCTGAGACCATAGGCACACACCACCATGCCTAGCTTTTTTTTTTTGAGACAGTGTCACTATGTTGCCCAGGCTGGTCCTAAACCCTTGGCCTAAACCGATCTTCCTGCCTTGGCCTCCCAAGGTGCTGGGAATACAGGTGAGCCACTGTGCTCAGTATCAATCTTCTTTATTTTGACTGTGCATTCTGGTCTTGGCACAAATCAATCATTTGGTTTTTTGATTAAATTTATCCAGTCACTGAATATAATCAATCTAAACTAGTGCTTGACATAATTCCATTTTATGGACTGTAAATACACAGTTGCATATACCAAGCAACTGATACATGGCAAACTGAAGAAATGGCAAGCAGGATGGACAAAAGGATTGAGAACTAAAAGTAAGACCGAGGTTATCAACTATTGTTGATGGGAGGTATGGTAATTGTTACAATACAATCAATCTTTTTATGCTCCTATTTGCTTAGCCATCATTGAAAAACTGTGAGCACAGTGATGTCTAGAATGGACAGCAGACATGTATAAGTTCCTTCCTGTGGAAAT